TTTGCCCTTCAGTCAACAGATTTCTTATTGGAAATTTTTTTTTTTAAATATGTCAATTATTAAATAGTGTAAATAAGATTTTCATTAAATTCTTTTCATGGGATAAAGTACTTTAGAATTGATACTTGCGTTAATAACAAATTCAATCGATTGATAAACTTGCTAGTGGCCCTGAGCAATATTCACAAATAACCGTTTACAGAAAATCTTAATTAAAAATGGCAACATTAAATTATCATATATATTCTTCTAAACGTTGTTTCCACATTTAAAAAAAATAAAAATTAATCTTAATCCGTGAAAATAACGTCTGTACATTCTTCTGAACAACTTGTGAAGATAACCATCATTGATGATGAATGAACTAATTTAAATGTTAATAAAAAAGTATATTTCAATTTCTTTATTGTGATATATTATAATCTGTTACATTTAAGGAGAATAGTAATAGTAAACAAAAAATCAAAGGTTTTTGTTTAATTATTTTTTCCATTCCTGATTTAACTTTATATTGATAACGACGAAATTGTACTTAATTCAGTTTAATATTTTAAAGGAAAAATGTTATCTTTAAGTATAATTTTTTAGAAAAATTATTGATATTTTAAACATTAAAATAAAAGTAAGGAATTGTTTTAGATACCACCTTCCGACTTCAATATAATTTTTAAATTAAATATTGAATTTTAAAAATCATTTTATGAAATGTGCGAAAGGAGCATTTTTCTTCTTTATTATCTTTGGGATGAGAGTGAATTAAAAATAATATCTTTCGTTTAGTTTATGAAAATGTTCCAATTTTCAAGTTAGTTATATAATATTGTTTTAATGTTTCCTAAAATTGGTATTGTGAAAGTTTCAGAATGGATACAAATAGTAAAATGGTAATTTCACAGGTCGAGAAAAAATTGTTCTTTCTATTATCGTGTTTCAACAATGTTTTACAAATGAATTTCAGTGGGTTACAAACACATTTATTTATTGATCCTACAGATTATTGTTTTAAATTTTAAACTCTATAATTGTGTTACATCTGGCAATCTTAAAAGAGTTAGTAAAACTTTGAGTCCATCTTCATCACTAATATAATCTTAAAATAGTTTAAACAAAAACTAATTGAGTTCCTTCCGATATAGTTCGATTTTCTATTTAGGATGAATTCCAAGGTGTAATTTATTTTTCTTGAAAAAACGAACCTTGTCCAAGTGACAGAATGTTGTAATATTCGATAAATAAATAGAATAAAAAAAACGAATCTAAATATTAAAAACCTGGTGCGCGCAACACACAACTTTCACTTACCGCTCAACTTTGAATAGAAATTATTTTCTGGCCATGACGGGCTATTATAAAATTTTTTAATTACATTTTTAACCGAGCTAAAGCTAAAAGCTTACAACCAACAAATCATAAATACCATTAAAATAACAAAAGTCCTATTTATTATATCATCCGTTGATTATAAATTGTACGATCCGTTGCTTATGTATTGTATGACTATAAGTTATTAAACTGTTATTTTACACTGCAAAGTTTATTAAAATGGAATTAAGAGATTTGCATTTTCTGTCATAGACAGGTCAAAAGTTGTCACACTAATTGTAAGTGGGTACTGTACACTCCTTCTTTCACACAAGTACAATGAAATAGTATCTTAAACAATGTCACTACCTTCAATCCGTGAATTTTAAATACTTTTTCAAACTAAAAAAAAAATTTAACGTTTACATTTAGTAAGAAAATTACATTTAATTTCCTTGAAAACAAGCGATTTACGTTAAATAATATTACTTTTCAAAAATTATTATCTATGATTTTTTCGCCACTCTCCGTTACCTTTTACAACTTTCTATATTATAAATTGTTTTTTTCTAATATTCTCCGGTTTCCAACGATATATTATACGTATACCTTCTGACTAGTATTTCCGGACTAGTATTTCATTTTCGACCTGGATAAGCATTTTTATTTTTTTTTCTCCTTTATCAATTATCAAAATCTTTCAAAAGTTATATTTAGCATTTTTTTTTTTTTTCGTAACTCTTAATAATGTGAGATAGTTAAGTATTTAAAATAAACCATATTAGAGGTACTTTTGAGGAAGGCATATATGAATATTGGGCATTTAAGCCCTGTAAAGTGACATCAATGGGTATAAGACCTAATTGATATTAAAGACTATTTAATTATTCAATGATACACCGAGTTTAATCAAAATCGTTAGAGACGTTTTTGAGAAAATGTGTTTCACCATTGATATAATGTGGCACTTTAGGTTGGCCGAACGAAAAAGTTGCTTAACATACAAGATATATACAAACCTTAAATATGAAATTTCACTTTCATACTTTTGGTTTTGAGCGAGACTATTCACATAAATACACACACAAACAAGCGCGCGCGCATAAACGCACACATAGACCATTTTGCGGGACTTGGTTATTTGGACTCAGGAGACCTCAAAACATGTATTTCCGTTGAAAACTCAGTCAAAAATTTTCACGATCGCAATACTGTTCCACGCTATATGTTTCATATATAGGTAAGTGAAAGTAAAAGAAGTAGTGTGAAAATAAATTTATTTCCGCAATAAGCATTTTTTTGCCCCCCAGCAATGTAATAAAACTATTTTAACAGTTTTATTCGAATAAATTAAATATGATTAATGAAGAAATTTGATTAGTAACTAATGAAGAAAAAATTGGCAGCTACACGAAAACAGCCGGTAACTTTCTGTACAGGGCTTCCATATTGTCAGTTTAACTTTTATACATCACTTATCCATATTTTTTTTTTTAAGTTTCAACGTGAAATATTGAGGATTTACAAATATGAACCTATTAATACACGCTATTTATTAACGTTTATTTATTTTTTCGACGAGTTTCGTGATCAATGTTTCCGATAAAACTCAGAATTTTCTAAAAGGTCTATTTTTCTCCACAATCATTAGTATAGTTTGATACTATATACAGTCGTAATTTTTTTTTTCTTTTTTTTCTGTATGTTACTTTTTATTTACTTTTAGTTGTAAAGAAAAATCATAAAGAAAAAAATCATAAAATCATAAAGAAAAAAAAATTACCGATTCGATGGGTGGGAAAAACATGATAATTAATTGTTTTAAATGAAGTTATACAGTTGTTTTCACTTTTACTTCCCTTTATATGAAAATACCTATCGAAATACCTATCTAATGTAGCTAGGTAAGTGAAAGTAGTGCGATGCGCGGCAACGAACCAGATTTTTTATTTCCGTTGAAAACGAGCCTTGAAGTTTAATTTGTATCAAATACGTCCTTAATTTAGTTTCAAGAGTTATTAATTAATATTAAAATAATAAATGATTTATAAATAGTAAATACAGAATTTATTAATTTTTTTTTAATATTGGTTTTGATATTTCATTTGTCAAGGATGATCAGGGTTCACTTTGGGAAAAAAAAATGATAATACGTAGAGAATTAGATGTGGAAAATCTAATTCTCTGCAAGTCATTCAAATTGTAAAACAAAATTCTAAAAGCGAAATTTTAGAGAGCGTGAAATCAAAATATTCCCTCGGTTTGGTAAACTGTTACTCAACTACTGTCACTAGTCGCAAGAAAAATCGTAACGCGACTCCATGCCCCAGTCTCCTTTAGTCCAATGAACTTCTAGCATTTATCAAGGCGAATGTTGAACAGTTCCTCGCAGTTAAACGCCTTATGTTTCCGCATTGGTTTGTAATGCAGAAAAATATGAAACATATTCATTCCGGTAGTTCGACGTACGCAGTAAGTATAACAAGTCTGTAGTTTAAAAATTTTAATATCAAATTAAAAACACTGACGTATGATGCAATAAAATATATTTATATTTAATGATTTTTTGAGCGAACGACTGAATCGATTTTTAATTTTGATATCTTAAGTTATTCCTTGAGATTCCCTTCATTCTTTTGAAACAATTACAGCTAAAAATACTGAACCAAGATTGAATAAACTGTGTTTAGTCATGTTCCCAAAATTTATATAACGATTTTTTGTACTGGATAGATTTTTAAGTTTCATGGCTCAAATTATTTAAATATATTTATTCATTAAATTTCCTGAGTGTATAAAATGAGTTGTACATACATGAATTGATTTTTATTTTAAGCGGATTTCCCTCTGAATAAATATTATAAGAATAATTGTGTTTGGTTTTTTTCTCCAAAAAAAATTCAATCACTTAAGTAAAACATCAACTTCCAACATCATGGTAGTGATAATTATTACAATTTCAAATTATATTATACTTCAATTATTTGAGAAAAATACATCCCACCTCTTTGTATTTACAAGAATTTCTCTCCCACTATTGAGATTTCAGGTACAATTTAAGTGACGGAGTGTCAAAGAGAATGAAATATTCCGTAACTAGTTGCCCTGTGCAAATCATTCGCATATTATATTGGTCAGTGAGCCACTGACAAAATAATAAGAAAATAAACAAATGCAACATATTATAAGATGGATCATTTTTTTTTTCTCATTATAATCGATCAAGGAAAAGAAATTAATTTAAAACTTCATTCGAATAATAAAACCATAGCATATGGAAAGATTGCAATAGGCTGTATCTTTGCTAATAATGGCCCTATTTTTAATTTGACTTATTGGGTGTAATCAACCAAGAATTGTATAATTTTTTATTTAAGCTCAAATACAGTTTCATTTTCTTCATAATTTTCCTGAAATTTCAATAGGATTGACTATTTTCTTCACCTATAAGAAAAATTATCTTTAAAATGATGCATCAATCATTGGGTTTGATGAAGAACTACAGAAGATATGGCGTACCAACAAAAAAACAAACAAAACATTTTTTTATGTTTTAACTATTTTGCACATAAACTATTGGGTCCTTACTAGTACAAATTTACCAAAGACAAACGTTTGAATAAATGTATAAAAATGTCTAGTTGATAAATCAGTTTATTTAATAACAAAAAAATTAATTTCTTTATCTGTCTCACAGGATGGCAAGCCCAAAATGCAGGCTCGAAAGAGAACCGCCTAGTGCTGAAGCATTGGAAATAGCCAAAAACGAACTAAGAGAAACACCAGAAGTTGTCCAGGAAGCTTTAAAAAAACTCCGAGAGCTCATAGAAAGTAAGTTTTATAATGGAAATAGATTATTTTTCGTAGTTTCAATACTATTCATGAAGAATGACAAAATTTGAAATAGTTTCTGACGTTGGCAATATCAGAAATAGTTCATACTTTAAAGGACTAAGAGAGATTAATCTCATCAATTGACCAAATCAATAACTTCAAATATTTTCTTTTATTTATTGAAGATAAAAACCTGTTCAAACAAAAATAAGAGGTCCTCAGTATTTGTTAATGATCTGCTCCAAGCTCATCAAATTATTCCCCTTCTAATCCAATGAAAGTTTAGTTATCCACCCACTTTTTAGTGGTTGAGCAGGCCCCAGAAGAGGGTCTATAGACTCTAGAATTCGATCCACAAATGATACAATAGAAAATGAAGTTTCTGCTATAGCCAGACTTGAATCTGGACACACAAGTTAAGGGATCAAAGTCTTATCCATAGAGCAAGCCCAATTCCACAACAATTACAATTAAAATAAATTAAATCATTTAAAAAATACAGAGTGGTGGATATGCAACAAATATGTAAAGGCATTTAACGTATTTAAAATAAAGCGAAAATGGTACTTTTCAAAATTATTCAACAAATGAAGTGAAACTATAATTAAATGTTTTAACCTTGGCTATTGATTTAACAAAAGATTGAAGTCCTTAAGATTACAGAAAGGAGGCATGGGGTAGGCAAACTTGCATGGATTCATTTATATAGCACTTCAAAACCAGTGATAAGAAAAACACTTGACACTAACTCTTAACATCTTATCTAACAATTAATTGAAGCAATACTATCAATCTTGAAATTATTTCCTACCTCAGAAGCTTTGATAAATAAATTTCAGTAAACTAAATATAAAATTTTCGACAAATACATATTTAGTTCCTGATAAATATAACAATTTAACATATTAATTTTCCACTCTATAAGTATATTCAATCAAAAGATCATTAGTATATAAAACAAATTTTGTCAAATTTAAGGTGTGTTTGCACTAAGCATGCAAAATGCCAACATTTGTAAACTTATTTGGCAGCAGTAAACATAAGTATTTTTTTGGGTTGGTCTATGTTCCTAGTAGAGTCAGTACATCAAAGTAAATTCGTTGTGTACATTCAACATGTACAATCCTCATTTTCTCCTAGCCTGTTGAATTAATAAATTTCTTAATTGAACATTTAGTAAACATGTTATGATTAAATATTTTATCACATTTTTTAAAACATATTAAATGTAACTGTTGATATTTATACCATTATTACATTTATGTTACTTGAATTACATTTATTAATTTTATTTTTTTCTCCTCGGCCACCCTGCCCCCTATATATCTTCTCTTATATTTTAGAATAAATAGAGAGTATACACTAAAACAATTCTTAATACACAATCTAATATTTATAATAAATTTACAGACGATCCTACAATTAACTTCAGGACAGATGATGAAATCCTAATTATTTTTCTTCGTCCGTGCAAATTCTATCCAGAAAGTGCCCTCGCATTGGTAAGATTAACTATTTAATTAACTCTATTAAATGAAATGTATTAAACCATAATAAATTAATATATTCAATCTTAATTTATAATAGATGAAAAAGAAAATGTTTTGAAGTAAAATCACCGAAGCAAAAATATTAAAATAAACTATATTTTTAATCATGATGATGTAGAGATGGTTGACTGTGATATAATATGAGAAGGAATTGGTCGGGGGGTGCTGTCAAATAAATACTAAATTTTAAAAAATAGTATTTTTAATTACGTTGACCCACCTTGTAGGTCTTCATCAGGGTGTGGCATGTGGCACTGCAGGAGGCATTTGATAGACTGCAGTGCCGCCACATGCCACACTCTGATGAAGACCTGCAAGGTGGGTCAGCATAATTAAAAATACTATTTTTTAAAATTTAGTACTTATTTGACTGCACTCCCCCACCAATTCCTTCTTATATTTTTAATCAATAAAATTTCTCATTATTTTATTTTATTTTATTTTGAAATAGATACTTATTTTTACATACTTAAATAGTTTATTCTATCCATAGTATCATATCGATAACTTACTTATAACTGTTATCGACCATTTGGCAGAAATATGTTATCAAATTTCATTGAATAGAATTTTGTTACTGAAAGTAATTCATGTACTAATTACATGGAAACTTTTACTGACTTTGAAATTTGTTTTGTAAAGATGAAGAGAGTTGCCGACTTCAAAGACAAGTACACTCTGATAGCCGGTGTGAGGCCAGATGATGAAAAGTCTTTGATATTAGAACATAAAACTGTAAATATCATGGCCAACAGGGACCACAAGGGAAGGAGAGTTCTCATCGCAAACATTGGCGGTAAGTTTACTAACGGTTATTAGATAATGTTATTCTTGTCTAACACAACATTAAGATTATTCTAAATCATTCGTAATTTCAATTTTTATTTCTTAAGTGTTCTGAAAAAAACAATTAATAAGTACAGTTGAAATTCAAATAATCACCCTTAAGGAACATATTAAAAACTAGAAGAAACTGGTGCATTAACACATCCAATAAAGTTTTCCTTACAAAAAATATAATGAGAAAAACAAAAAAAAAATAGGTACAAATTTATCGAATCACGAAAAAAGTGAAATATAGCACTATGGGAATAATCCAAAACTTTGAATTAATGAAACTGTTGTTCAAGATTGCTACAGATTGAATAAAATTCATTAAATAATTAATTTCATGAATTTTCAGGATCTTGGGATACTAAAAATATATCAGGGGACCAAATTTTTAGGTTGTTTTACTTAATACATGTTGGAGCAATGTTAGAACCTGAAACTCAGATCCGAGGAGTTGTTGTCATCCTCGACTTTGATGGTCTTGGTATGAGACAAGTTGCACAGCTGACTCCCAGCTTCTCCATGAGGCTACTCAATTTTATTCAGGTAAATTTGTATCAAAAAAAATATTTACAAAACGTTTCCACACACTAAATTTCTAAATAAAGCTGAAAACTTCCAGGAAGCTATGCCATTAAGACTGAAAGAGGTTCACATTGTCAAGCAACCATTTATTTTCAATGTTGTATGGAAAGTATTCCAGCCATTCATTAGGGAAAAGCTAAAAAGCAGGGTGAGTTACTTAATTATATTTCTTAAGATGGATTGGAGTAAAAATTAAAATAATATTAAATACTTTCTGATACTTTTCTGAAATTAGGTATATACTTACTCATTAGTTCATTGGATGGTACTCCTCTAACTATATGAATGATTTATTTATAATATAATTTCTCCATAAATATTCAATTAATTGTTTTTAAAAAGTATTCAGTATTTATCACAAGTTTTGTAGAACCTGTTTAAAGAAAAAAAAAATCTGACAATTACTTTAAATAACTGAATTAAATAACTTCTATTAAAATAACTTTAGACACTGGCCTTTATTTTAATTTGTATCAATTCCAGATCCACTTTTGTGATTATAATACCAAATAAATAAACATGACAGAATAAAATAAAGCTTTATTCTTTTGAGTTGATTTTGAAATAAATTAATTTTCAAAACTGTTTTAGTTGTTTTTCCATGGATCCAAAATGGAGTCTCTACATAAACACCTCGACCCATCATGTTTACCAGCCAACTATGGAGGTAAACTTCCACCTTTCGATTATTCAAGTGCTGATTGGTACCCAATATTGAAGGGTATTGAGAGCAATGTTGATGGTACGTATTACTATTACTTATAATTATTATAATGTAAGAAAAGAAACATTAAAAAATAAGAAATTTTCGTAAAAAATTGTGGTTGTTAAATTTAAAACATTCAACTAATGACAGGATAATTGTGAATTAAAACTGAAGCTATTTATATAAATACTGATTTCAAAAGAAATAATATAATAGATCTAGATTACAATAATTCTCATATACAAAACAGAAAATTAATTAAATACTAAATACTAAAAATAATTTGAAGTAAAGGATTAAATTTCTAATAAAAAAATTTACCATTTGGATAAAATAGAAAAATAATGTTTTTAAGACATCTAAATATAAGGACAATAAAGGCATAGCTAAAAAATTTCAAAGAAAATTATATTATAAAATGTCTATAGTTGCCTAAACAACTTTGAAATATTTTATTGTAAATAACTAATTCCATTAGGAATTATTGCGATTGGAATAGTAACTTTACCACTTAAAAATATTTTTATTTTCATGACATTTCGGCTGTCAGGCCATCCTCATTTGATTCTAGAATGATAAAATATGATGACAATAAAATTGATTATCTAATGAAATACAATCAATAATTTACTTTAAAATTTAAGAGTACATTATCATAATAATTAGTCCGTAATAACAGTTAAGGTAAAATATTAGAAGCTATATACATAACAAAACACATTCAGAAAGTAACTAATTTTCAGTAATACAATATAAGAATTTAAATAGTAACACCATTAGCATTACAAAATTGTAAATTTAATGCAATAAAACTTTATATTAGCTATTTATTTCAATTCAGGCCAAATAGAGACCAAGCGTATACCATTTCAAGGCTTTTTTTGTCCATATTCTTCTCCCATCTCCCTCCTCCGTTCTTCTGTCCATTTCTTTCCTTCTTTTTGACTACAAAAACTGTTATGTTTCTCACTAATTTCCCGAGCTTTATAAACATACTGAAACTTAGAAACATCAATGAGCAAAAGGAGACTAAAATTCTTCGTGCATATGAAGAATAATTAGAAGTTGAACAAACTTATATTTGACAAAGTGATGAGACTGAAGAACATAACAAGATATCCAGAACAAATGAAAGATGTAGAAGAAAATGGGTATCAAAGAAAAAGATTACCAAGATAAAAACAATATGGTTATCCCATTATGGTTACGGACTAATTATCACCAATTGATAATGTACTCTAAATTTTATATAAATCGCTGATATTATTTCATAAGAGAATTGATTTCATTAGATCCATTCTAGAAACAACTGATGATGACCTGACATACGAAACGTTATGGAAATAAAAATATTTTTAAGAAATCAACTTACATTTCCAGTCTTAGAAATTTCTAAGAAATTATATCCCTTTACCCTAAGCCTAAATACACTGATAGAAATTTTATTTACATCAAGGATAATCCCGATTTAACATTCTTTAATATTTTATCCCAAATGGGTATAAAATCAACTAAGTAACTCTGTCATTGGCTTCTTGGCAGTCACTAAAAACAAACAGGTATAGTTTTAGTGGCTGCCAGTATCTCTGCAAACAGAGATGGTAGAGATATGCCTTAAAATGCAATATATTTATTTCATACATTGTTGTTGAAATATATTTTATTATTATTATAATTTTATTTTTATTTTTTCAGAATGGAACTCTTGGGGAAACAAGAAGTAAATTATTAAGAAAAAAACAAAAAAAAGACAAAAACTATTTTTGTAAATAGAAAAATGGAATTTATTTTTTTCTACGAATGAATTCAAACCAAATAAAAGAAGAAATGTTAACTTTATTAATAAAACTAAAAACAAATTACAGTATATTATTTATTTCTATTATTTGAAAAAAGTTAAACACCCTTTTGGCAGCATGCAATAAAATCATAAGTTTTAAAAAACACTAATCAAGCTTTTTTATTCATCAGTAATTACTGTAACAAAAACAAATTATTTCAGAAAATAAATATTAAATTAATAGTAATAGTTAATAGGATACTGTATCCTATCCTCAGGCTGTGTGAGTACTAGCAGTTTAAGTGAATAGTGGTAGTTTAGGGTTTTTTCGGTACTTACTTTTTACATGGATTCTACTTTTCTAATCTATATATCTATAATAAAATATCCATTCCTCAAATTCAGAAGTCTTTACAACTTCGACCTTGATTCATATATACTCATTAAGTAAAACCTCTAAATGGACTACCTATTCACTTCCACACTTCCGTTAGAAACCTTGGGATAATTTTTTATCAAGACCTTTCCTGAAATAACTATAGTTCCTAAATTATCCAAAAATCTAATGTTACCCTCATATTTTTCCCCATATCGAATATGGCTACCTTGTATATGGCGGACTTGAGATCAGATTCACTAACTTAATTATTTGTTTCATTAGATCATCTTTGTAGTCCCCAGGTGCTCCCACGTCTCCAGTTGCTATGGCAAGTTGAAGTGGCTTTATCCAATTTTTCGACAGAAAAATTTCCTAGGTGTATTCTATTTCCGAATCTTTACAACCAAAAAGCCATCTTATCTTCTTGATTTGTTTACTTCTTCTTCCTTTGTATACTCATTTAACACGAGATCCCAGCTCACAAATCTATTTAATCCTTCTCATAGAACTGTTTCCTTTAAAAAATCCTCTATCACGCGTGCTACCTTATTTTGGGATTCCTTACCCACCTCCACACACAAATCCTCATCCTTAACCTCTTTTAAATACCATACCATTTATTCTTCCATCTCCTTAGCAACTACTCTACCGAACACATTTAAAAATATAATTAATTAATTATTTCTCTATTGGCTTCTCGTTTCAGAGAAATGTAACTTTTCTGTTCATTGTACTTATTCTTAGGGGACTAAATATCCAGATTAATTTTCTTTCTTTAAGTTTCATCAAAAACGGGACACTGTTTTAGGACAATTAAGGATTCTCAAAAATGAGAGTTAGTTTATAAATCACTTTTTGGATTCATGAAACCTTGAAGCTGTGTAAACCAAGAGGTCTTGAAAACTTTTTTCTATATCACCCATTTAGCTTTTAAATTGTATTATATATTAAAAATCTAGTTTTTATAATGGACATTAAAACTAGTCTTATCATTTGGAAAAGGCAGTTGGGCATATTTTGATAAATTAATGAACTGGTGTGGTTTCATTCTTTTGTTTCATTATTTTCTACACAAAATCTGATATTATCAATGGTATACAACCAGGAAAATATAAATACATTCATCTGTGTTAAAAGAATTTATAAAAATAAACATTAATATTAAGAAATGTATATAAAAAATAAAAGAAGGTAAATAACAGAAAATAGAAAAATTATAAAACAAAGTATCATTTATTAAAAAAATTGAGGTACAAATAACACAATCACTGTACCTTATCAAGAAGATTATAAAAAAATTACAACAGGACTTATAAGAATTACTATAATGACAATAGAATTTTTAAGGCACGCAATCATAAGAATTCGTTATTCATTTATATCTAGTAAAATTTCACATATAGAATAAATTTTGATTCCGAAATTCAAGAAAAATCTCTTAAAAGAGATAAGTAATTTATCAATCATAACTTCAATACAAAATTTCACAAAGATTTAATTAATACCAATTATCAGGTTTTATAAAAGAATTGTGTTATAATTAACAAAACAAAGATAGAATTGTGATTTTGTGAACACAAAATTAATTAAAATTTTTAATTTTGAAAACTATTTAACATCAGCTATACTTACAAAACATACATCTCATAAATATTATTTAAAAACTTAATAAATATGTATAAAAACTGATCCAATCAAAATGTTTGGTAATAGCTTTGAAATTATTGTTTCCAAGATTGAAGCAAAAATCTCAGGAGAGTAAAAATATTCGGTAAAATCTGATTTTAAAACTAATAAAATACCAAGAGTATCATAATAAAAAAGTAAGTGTATCATAATTTACATAACTATTATAGCTGTACATAACAAAAATCCACAATAAAAATAAGCAAGATTCTTATCACGGATAGAAGTTTCATAGAAAAAAAACATTAATGAATTAATCAAGTTAGTAAGCTTCTAGACAATTCGATTGAGATATTAACATTAGGATAATGCAGTGATTGAGATGTTTTTCATGTGGCAGGAAAAATTATAACTATGAACCAAATAAGAATTAACGTAGTTAAACTCTTTACCTTAATACAGTGAATTTAAAAAAAGAATTTTGCAGGAAGAAAAGAAACGATTCAACACAAAAGGTCAAGTTATAAATATTATAAATAAGTCAGAGATATTAAAAACAAACAAACTGCCAAACAATATAAATTCTATACAACACATCATAAAAAAAAACAAAATGAGATCAACCCAGGAAGGATTACAATAAAAGAATGCAACATTATTAAGCTAAAGCCTTGCCCTTTTCTCTTTTAAGAATGTAATAATAGATATCATTCCAGTATCTGTTGCTACTTTTAGGGGGGTGTTTCCGGAATCTCCTTTTGCATTTATATTAGCACCATTATCTACAAGAATTCTAACAATTTTCAAAATCCTTTTATATACTGCTAAGTGAAGGGGAGTATCATTATTATCAGTTTGTAAATTAACATCAGCACCATTCTCGATCAATAAAGAAACAGTAGAATGATAGCCACGTTGTACTGCATTATGAATAGGGGTCCACATCTTATGGCCCCTCATGTTAATACCTGCTCCTGCATCTAACAATAATCTGATACAGTCCTTTTTACCACTTTCGGCAGCCATGTGAATAGCAGCATCTTTAGTTAGAGGATTTACGTAATTTACATGAGCTCCTGCGTTTATTAACAGCCTGACAATTGCAGCATGACCTCCTTCAATAGCTTTCATAAGAGGAGTAGCTTTTTCCTTGTTGGTAGCGTTCACATTGGCATGCAATTCAATCAAGCGTTGGACTAATTCAGCATTTCCTTCAAAAGCAACTAGATGTAATAATGTATCTTCATTACTTGTCCTAGTATTCAGGCTGACACCTTGAGTGACAAAGTAGTTGAGAATATTTACATTATGAGAAAGGTGAAATGAATTCAATCCAGACTTTTGTTTTGAATAAGGATTGGCATCAGCTCTCATTAATTCACTAATGGTTTCAAGGTTACCATTACATACAGAAATATGTAAACACGTTTCTTCTTTCTTCGATAAGATATTTACATCTGCCCCTGCTTTTATTAGTGCTCGCATAGCATACAATTGCTCGGTTTTTGTAGCCAGATGCAGAGCAGTGTACCCATTATGGTTTCGCAAATCTATTTCTGGTTTAAACTTTAAAAGAGTATTCAATGTTTCAAGGGCTCCAACAGAGGCAGCTTTATGTAATGAGGAGTTGCCATCACTGAATTGTTGATTAACATCTACACCAGATCTTAATAATAATTCAATAATATGAGGAGTATTGAGCTGTACTGCTAACTGAAAAGGGGTGATGGAATCTTTGTTCTTCAATTCAGGAAGGGCTCCAAAATTGAGTAGCAGCCTCACAGTTTCCATGCAACCAGAATAAACAGCTAAATGGAGAAGTCTCTGGCCAGATACAGTTTCTAAGTTAATATTTAATCCAGACTCCATTAAGAATCTTATGGCAGTATGATCATTGTGACGGACAGCGGTCTCTAAACAACTCTTGAAGGCATCCTAAGAAAATAATATGCCATTAAATAAAAAAAATAAAAGTTAAGGTTCCAAATTTGTTGTATACAATCAAATTATCATGTACTAGCTGATGTATCTGTCGTTGACGGGTGTATAGTTAAAATTTGAGAATCTATTTTTGAGATGGATTTTTTATTATGGGGGAGGGGATGCAAATTTAATTTCATAAAATTGGTTGGGAGGGGGATTGTTTTGTATTTTTTTTTTTTTTAGGGGAGACTTATGGAAGTCAAGGTTTCACAATAGTCATAATAAAAACATTGTTATTCAGTTATTGATTTAGGTGCCAGAGAACTAAACCGACCACCACCAATCCATTAAGAATTTTTTTAAGTGTTTAATTTTCATTTTTGATGAAGCTAGGAGATTGTGGAGTCGATTGAAATAATCAAAAAGATATTGATTATAATTGAAAATCTATATGTGAAACAAATTTTTATTTCCTAAATGTTTAATTTTTACTTACAGTGAACAAATTTAGTCGAAATTTTGGCCATGTATTATTTCTGTGAAATGGGTAGTAACGTAGGTGAACGTGACTAAGGGAAACAGTGTGACTTCAAGGTGCTGAAGTGTGGGAGGATGTCGGATTTTTCCTGGTAGAGTAGGGTGAAGTATTTACGTTTTATATAAACGTAACACCTATGGTAAAACTTTTTCCGTTTTTTTTAAGCAGCCATTCCATGTATTTAATAATAAAAAAAAATATGACCATATTTATTTGACTTGGCGAGCTTGATAGAATGACATCTCGAGCAGTTCAACTGGATAAATCTAATTACTGACTGTTAAAACAGCACGTTGACGCTTAAGCGGAAGTCCGGGATTCCGGTTTTTCCCCCTGGGTTCTGAAGCGGGATCTCTAGACAAATTACTCAAGAATTTATATCTTTGGTTCTACTAAAAATTTGTTTTTACTCAAAGCCTGTTTAAGTCAAACAAAACTAAAAAATGTAAAAAATTAAAAAGTCTACCATTACCTATTG